GCAAAAGATATGCGTGGAAAAGTTTTGTTTTGAAAATTTATTTTCTGCCTAGGCGAAAGCTCCTAACTTTCTAGTTTCTACTTTCTTCTTACTCTTTTTTCTTTGTCAAATAGTTAAAGGTATGTAAGCCAATTATCTCACATAGTAGGGGATTTTCCTGTTTAGAGGACCTTTGTGTGAATTGTTTCATCAAGCAAATAATCAACTCCTTCTCTACTTTAGGAGTTTGGATTGTCAAATGTAGGTTTCCTTAATAAAGGGGGCACATAACTACATATTGCAATAAAGAACTATGACTGTAGCACTAAAGGGCAAGCATAGAGCCACACAGTTACTTAATTTCTAACGCTCTGTAGTTTCTGGCCGGATTCCGTTGACATGCGTAGGTTACAGTCCTGAAGTTACCCACTGAACCCTTACCTTAAAAGTTTCTAATCTTAAGTTTTTTGAAATGCAATAATATGTATTAGCTAGCAATACTTCTGTGATCACCAGCAACTCCTACTTTAACCTTGAAGTCTCCGAATAATGAAAGTAGATCCCAGCAGTAACACATTTCTTGAACCGCCCCCCCTCAAGTACATTATATAGCTTCTCATTTTGGTCCTGTGTTTGCAACAACGGTGACTATTACAGTTCTTAGCTTATTTTGTATTCATGTGTTTTACTATGACCAGTAGTAAATATATTAGTTAGTACATGGGATGAATAGCAGCAACTACCCCTAGAATCAGCACTTAACAAGGTGGGGAATTTCTATGTCAAGTTGTTCTACACTTGCATAAATTATTTCTATTATTATTCATGTATGTTATTTATTTCTGAATCACACTAGTCCTGTGAAAGTACAACTGAAAGGAGATGGCATTAGGATTTGCATTTAATGTTCATTATCATGGTCTCGATGGAGCAAAGTAAATTAAAATTAGACTAAGCCCCCAAATAAGCTGCATGCATTTTAACATGATGAGTAGAATTTAAGTCTGTAGGTGTAGTATTTTTGTGTCTAGATGTTTTATCATTATGTAAAGGAATTAAAGCAAAGGACTTTGTAGTTCTTTTGTCAAATATGCATATAGTATAGCGTGAAAATACAGCAAAAAAATTAAAACCAGATAGAAAGCATCAGATACTGCCTTAATTTAGGAACTCGGCCAGACAGCTGTCGGAGTAGATGCCCGGCAGAGACAGGTACCTGGGTGGTGCCTCCTCGTATCTGGCCTCGAGAAGAAGCTTCCTCCCTGCAATCTCGTACCCTCATAGGTGTCCTGTGCAGTAGTGGGAACAGGTAGTAACTGTTGCAAGGAGAACAGTGTGAGAGTTTTCTGTAGAAGCAAACTGTCAGCTTGTGCCTTGGGGCCTCCAGAATGTGTCAGATGGAGAAATTCAAGTTTCCGTGCTTCAAGCAACGTGTTTTTGTACAGAAGCAATTCAGTCTGGTAATAAACACAAGGACTGGATGTACAGTAGTCAACAGTGGATGGTAACAACCAACAGTCCCCAACACCTCAGAAGCTTGTTGCATTTCTGGTATTTCAGGTTTTGATCTGAAGGTTAATTGGCAAGTGTTTGGTATAGAAGAGCAGTACGTGTTAAGAAAAGCACAATATCGGTTCCTGTAGAGTGCAGATTAGAACTAGAGGGTTTTATAGGATTACCATGTCAGAGATGTGTCAATGCATGTTTTCACTGTAAAATGTATTAGTGTAGTGTTTCTGCCTTCCCATAGGGCTTAGGTAAAACTTTATTCTAGGTTTTCAGCAAGGCTGTCCTACCAAGTAAGCTTTTTTTTTTTTTTTTTTTTGGAACTTTTATAGTAGAAAATGTGTTAAACGTAGGAAAAAAAAAACCTTAATTTGGACATTTGACTTGTTGGTTTCTGTGCTTGAAATCACGGTTCTGGAGATGTAGAGATTGTGCATGCACATGTCAGATACTAATCTAGGCTGTGTGAACCAGCCCAGGATAACCAATGTCCTCCTGTCCCCTTCATCCTTCCTCCCTCCCGCCCCCATCCCAGCCTGTCTGTGTGGTGCTCTTTATCCTCTTCTGCCGCTCTTTGGGCGTCAGGGACACAATGAGAGGGAGGCTTTAGGCATCACGGGTGTGCCTGCTCAGGCTTGGCCACCACTATTACTTGACCTTTGGCTGGGCACAGAGTGTGCTCACAACACCCATCACAAATGCCCTCCAGCATGTTTGTGTGCATCGTGATTTTAAAACCAAGTCATCCTACAGAGCATTCAATTTTGGCTGTGGTGCAAGGAGAGAAACTAAACAAGACTATAAACCACATTCCAGGCTGCTGTTTTCTATCCATCTACAGGCCATAGTTTTACTGTATTTCTTCATACTTGAAACTCATTCTGCTATTTTAATATCAGGGTACAGACTTATAAGGGTGCATGTTCCTTAAAGGTGCAAAATTACTCTCATTCCGTTTGCTCATATCGCTACAGAATGCTGTTTTGGTGCTTTGGATTGAGCAGGTCAAAGAAGCAGTGTGGAAATTCACTGCCTGGAACACAGTCTTACAAGAATGTTAGCAGATGGCTTGGTAGTAGATAGTGCTTCTGCTCTTTTTTCCATACACAAGGTTGAGAGTTACCACACTGGCCTGTCAGGTTCACCCTGGGTATCCTTTGTCACAGAGTACAGAAACCCTGTGCTCTCCCCAAATGTGGGTGCGGTGCAGCTCTCTGAAAGCAGAGACCTTCCTATGTGCCGGATCATTTAGCCCCCAAAGAAGAATGGCCGTGGGTGTAGACAGGAGCAGAATGGGAAGGGCTCTCTCTCGCTCTGGCGACCATCCCTCCAATACACAAAAAGCTCTCCTGGGCAAAAAAAAAAAAAAAAAAAAAAAAGAAAGAAAGAAGGAAAGAAAAACTGTAAAGTTACACCCTTTTTAGCACCCTGAGCTAAATGATCTTGCTTCTTTACCCTTTAGGTAGATGAAAATACAGGTCAGTTTATCTAGACTCTTCTCACCTGAAGAGGAAAATAGAAAAGTAGATTGTTTGTATCATGTAAAATATATAATCCAAGGACTACCAAAACTTACATTAAATCCCCCATCACTAGCAGTCTGTTTTAAAAAGTAGCTCAAGGCAAAGATTCTTTATGATCTGGACTACCCGAGGTCAGGGACAGTCATTCTAGCATGCACCTTACTCTAGGACTTAACCTGGAGAATGACAACTGCCAGCGTTCACTCTGTGGCAATGGCAAAGGTAACCTGTCAGAAAACGCAGAGGGTTGCAGATCACAAATCCTTTGGAAACTGGATGTCTTACTGGGTGCTAGAATGCAAATTTAGGTATTTATTGTCAGATAATGGAATTCATTGTTTTTTAAGAATTCGTGTTGAAGCGTCACTGTCCAGTTCATTGTTTTCACATATGCACAAGCTAAATTGAAGCAAAAAGAGAATGGTTTGTATATTTGTCATACCTTTTGTATTTCTTACAATAAAAATATTGGTAGCAAATAAAAATAATAAAAACAGCCGTCTTAGACTGCTTTCTTGGAAACAAATGACTGTCACAGCTATTTTTCTTTTTACTTAATGTAAAATGAATATAATTACGGTGAGTAAAATAACTTATAATTAAATAGCAAGTTTTAGCAGAATGCGTTTTAAACTTTTGTTGTAAGAGACTCCTTTTCAGAAAAACTAAATAGCAGCTCATTGCGCTTAAAGCCTCAGCAACAAATGTTTAGTAACCTCTTACTAGTTGATTATGCTAAACTCTGACAACCCAAAACTAAGTAAGGCACGGCAGTCCTTTCCAGAGCTTGCAGATGGGGACCATGAAAAGGTTTGTGTAACCCAACTGCTGATAACCTACAGATGAGCAAAGGAGTCACACAGTGATAGTTGAATGGACTCAAAACCGAAAATCAGTGTCTCCCAGGCGTATAAGCAGAAATACTGTGCATGTGCAAAGGCATGCAATGATGTAAGAGCAAGCTGTAAGATTGATGAGGTCACCCCTGGGGCAGTGGCTGTTAACATCTGGATCATAAGCTACAGAAAGAAATCCAGTCTCACCACATGATCTGGTGTGTGCGTGCGTGCGCACAGATGCACACAGGTATATACCAGGAACTGAGATTTCACAAAATGATGTTGAGTGCCCCACAGGTTCTCTTTCCTATTTTATTATCCTGCACCCTGAAAATACTGGTGGCAACCCACTAAACTGATTTCACAACCCCACTAATAGGCCGTGACTTAATGTTTGAAAACAGTTAGTGGTGGGGGGAGGATATGCGAAGGAGTCTGGAGGTGATGTTGGGAAGCGTTTAATATGCCTTATAAAGAAATTTGGAACAACTGAGGGGTGTCAAAGAGGAAGACCATTTCTATTAACGTGTGTTCCTCTTCGTTCAACCGCTTATATACTGATGCAGAATGATAGACGAAGCAGCTAATGAGATACACAACAAATCAGAAGTGTGATACGCTCCCCTCTTCGTGTATTATACCAGGTACTTTTTTAAAGATTTATTTATTTATTTATTTTAGAGAGCACACGCAAGTGTGGCAGGGAGGGACAGAGGGAGAGAGAGAATCTCAAGCAGACTCCCCACTGAGCGCGGAGCCGGACGCAGGGCTCCATCCCCGGACCCTGAGATCATGACCTGAGCTGAAATCAAGAGTTGGCCATTTTACTGACAGCCACCCAGGTGCTCTGATACCAGGTATTTTTAAATTAGTCCTCCAGAATTCTCTGGGAGCTCTCATGAGGACTTGCCTTAATTTTGTTTAACAGGCCCTAAATTGCATCTACATTTTTTTAATTTACATGAAATATTCAGGAGGGATAATACAGAAAGGCAAGCGTATGATTTTTTACTAAGAAATTTGAAAGTTTGTAGGGGCACCTGGTTGGCTCAGTCGGAAGAGCATGTGACTCTTGATCTTGGGGTCATGAGTTCAAGCCCAACATGGGGTGTAGAGATTACTTCAATAAATAAAACCTCAAAATTTTTTTTTGTTAGAAATTTCTTTATTCTTACTTATTTTTATTAAGCACCAGCTTAATACTGCAGAAAATTTCAAATCACCCAATTTTCCCTCCCTCACCCAAATTCTTGATAAAGAGCTCTTCAAGTGAAGACATGCTCTCTTCTCTCTTCTGTATAAAACTTTATCAAATAAAGGCAAATAACTGTGTACATCTTGCTGTAAAATGCTGCCCACGGCTGTGGAAAGTATCTGCTCAGGCTCCTTTCACTGTCCAGGTCCTGAAAGACTCTTGTTCATGAACTGCCTCTTCACAAAGCAAGTCCACCACTTGCTAGGTTTATCATTCTGAGGGTCAAAAACTTTCTCAAAAAGTCTCAGTCCAGTCTCTTGTCTCAGCTGCTGTAAGTAGGCCCTCATCACATCATCTTCCTGTTTGTTTGCAGGTTTGGCATAAATTGCATTAAGTGGAAAACCAGGCTCTCCAGGAATGGGAAAATTAGTGATTCCCAGCGTATACATTTCTTTTTCACCTTGGCTTTTGGAATTGCACTTCTGGAGTTTCTTTAGACACTCAGAAATGTAGAGAGTTATATATATCAAGGTTCTATCAGCTTCATTCTTAATCTCATAGATTTTGAAGAAGACATTGGCCTTAAAATAATAGATGGCTTCATCCACAATATCTGTATCTTTTGTCTCTCTAGGGGCAGGTCCTTTGAACTGACTTCTGATAGGCAACAGTGCCATGTTTCCAATGAGTTTGGTGTCAGGGTCCATGAGAGAAGAGTGATAAGCCGGCATCTTGGCGGCGCTGGTGTTTCAAGATAGACGAGGAGGTTCTCAAAACAATTTTTTTAAAAATTGAAAGTTTGTAGTTTAAAAGGTCACTCACAACTACACATATTTCCACAAACCGTGGGCATCTACAATCAGGTTTGACTGGACCGTTAACTTCAAAGCAGCGTACAGAAAGATCCTTCAGCTGATCCCTAGCTATCTCTGCTATTCTCACTTAGAGCTTCATTAAAAGCCCGAAGGTCTTTGCCACTTATTTGCCTTTTTAAGTGTCAGCCCAGTTTACCGGCTCTCTAGGGAAGAACTCATGGCAGGGGTGGGCCCAGGAGGTCACACTTGTTCTCCAAATGCCCCTTTCCTGGATGTAGCTGATGGAGCAACCATAGTATCCCATGGAATGTGGGACCAAGAGATGGTGCATCCATCTCTTAGATGTCTGCGAGCGCTACCTGTAAATTCGGAGCTGCAGATAGCTGTATTTCTCCCTGCATGCACAGGGGATCTTGGAGTGCTGACCCATGGAGAGAGATGGTCATGTGCAGAGGCTGAATCCAGACAGCTTTCTGACTCTTCCCCAGGCTAGGGAACTCCCCATATCCTTATAATGAAGTCTGTCTGTAGCTTTTTTTTTTCTCTCCATTTAACTTCGGTGGCTCAGGAAAATTTCTATCAATTGCAGCAGAAATCCTAACACAGCTCCCTCTCCTCTAGTAGTACTATAGTTGGAGGCCGCTGCTCTGCACTGTAATTTCAGTAGTGTCCTTATTTAAGTGTGGATAAAAACAATGATAGCAGAGCCTGCACTTTTCAAGTGGGGATTCCCAGAAACCTGGAGTATACAGAGGAGAATACAAAGCTACCGCTAAAAAGATCTACTTTCCTCAAGCATCAACTTTGTTTAAAATAAAAAAGTGTTTTTCATTAAAGACACTATTTTTAAAATACATAAAACATTGTGGAATAGAATGCAAAATTCAAATTTTTTTAAATAATGTAGAAGACTTCGAAGATATTTCATGACTTCAGTCACCGCACAAGACTACCCCATCACCAGACTGCACCCCCGCTAGAACTCACTCTCCTGCACATTTTTGAGAAGTACTGCATCATCAGAGAGGAGACATCAGCACTTGGCATGGGGCCTGTTATTCTAAATCCTGTACTTCCTGTGATCTCCAGGATTCCTCACTGGAAAATGACATCTATCATGACAGTGTATTCAGAAAGCTGATCAAGAAAGTCAAGTTTACTCACATTCACTCAACATCTACTGGCCTCAGCTTTCCAAACAGCACCTGATGCAAAGAGGCAGCAGCGTCAAGTTAATAGACCCTCCCTCCTGCCTGTTGGATTGCACGGTGATACAGTGTTACTTAGCTGTAGGTGCAGCAAAAATGGCTCTCTCAAGAGGAGAAGGGAGGCAATTAACATTCAAAGAGCCATCCCCCAAGTGCCAGATATTCGGACATGCCATACAAATACAAACTATCTTATTTCCTCAAGTCATTCTAAGTCAGAAGAGGTAGATGGTGGTGTCAGCTTCAAACAGTCCTAAAATAAGGCTGCATACAACACATAAGAAAGAAATGTGATTGGGGCGCCTGGTTGGCTCAGTCAGTTGAGCAACCGACTCTTGGTTTCGTCTCAGGTCATAATCTCAAGGTCATGAGATTGAGCCCCAAGTGGGGCTCCTGTTTAGAGGGGAGTCTGCTTGAGATTCTCTCTCCTCCCTCTGCCCCTCCCCCTGCTCTCATGCACACTGTCTCTATCTCTCTCTCTCAAATAAATAAATCTTGAAAGAAAGAAAAAAGAGAAAGAAAGAAGGAAAAGAAAAGAAAAAGAAAAATGTGATTGTATGCTCTAGGGTCTAGAGGTGCCTGAAACTGAGTGAAGTTCAATAGTGTTGAATGAATGAGTGAATGAGTCAAACAATTTATATGTAACTGGTGAAATAAAATGCTTACATGTTGACCATAAAATACTTTAAAAATACAAAAACTAAAGAAAACATGTATTAATTGAAATCCTACCACCTAGATAAAACTGTTAATATTTTGATAAATAATTCCTACATATCTAGCTTTACAAAGACACGGGTTAGATAGAATATATTTTATTCCACAGAAGTGGACTGTGCCATCCATTCAGTAAGTTGTACTTTCAAGGTTGTTTATTTGTTGCTTTATATAATATCCTGGATAATTCATCATTTCAATAAATACAAATTTACATCACCACGTAGTATGGCTGCAGAGTATGCCATTGTGTAAATGTACTATAATTTACTTAGCAGATCCCCAACTGATAGACATTTCTCCCCAGCCCACCCCATTTTTTCAATATGAAATACTGCTTCCAGGAGCAGTACTGTGAATGCATCTATTTGCACATGTCAGTTAGATTTAAGTCCTCTGTCTGGTCACTGGAAACTCACTCACTCATTCACTCAACACTTATTGAACCTTTACTCTGTTCCAGGCACCACTGGACTCTAGAGATGCAGCTGTGAACAAAACACTTGCTCTCGTGGCGCTAACATTTTAGTGAGAGACAGACCATAAATTAATATGTGCACAAGGTAATTACATTATAAGCCCCATAAGGAAAATAAACAGGTCATAAGCTAGAAAGTACTTGGGACATGGTGGGCAGGAAAGGCCCTGTGAAAAGCTTTGAGTAAAGGATGAGATAGCCAGCTGAAGTACTGAAGGCAGAGGAGCAGAAAGGATGCCCATGTGCTCAGGGCATACAGAATGAGGGGGAAGAGTGGTCAGAGCTGAGATTAGAGAGGTGGAGAGAGAATGTAGACAACCTGTTTGAGAAGCTTAGCCATAAAGTGGAACAGAGAAATGGAGGTACAACTTGAAGAGGATGTGCTATCAAAGGAGAATTTTTTTCTGAGATGAAAGATAGTCCACGGGGTGGGGGTGGGGGTGGGGGGACAGGGTGATTGAAGGTGAGGGAGAGAGATGGAATAGCAGCAGATATGAAGTCAGTAAGAAGGGGAAAAGGGAGGGGACAAGGAGCACAAGAAAAAGAGTAGCACTTGGATAGAGGAAAGCTCTAATAGGAGGGCAATACAGATTTAAAGATTTGGTGGTGGGAATATTCATCGATTCACCGAGTAAATATTTACTGAGCACCTGCTATATGCCAAGCACTATCCCAGGCCCTGGGAAATGGCAATGCACAAAATATTTAAGATTTATTGCCTTTATGGAGCTTATTTCTAGTGAGGGGAGGCAAACAAATAACTATCATAAAATATCTAGGATGTTCCATGAGTGCTGTAGAAAAAACAAAACAGAGAAAAGGCATAGAGAGTACTATAGGATGCAATTTTATTTTTTTGTTTTCTTTTTTAAGATTTTATTTATTTATTTTGAGAGAGAGAGAGCATGAGCTGGGGGAGGGACAGAGGGAGAGGGAGAAGCAGGCTCCCCACTGAGCAGGGAGCCCGATGTGGGACTCGATCCCAGGACCCCAGGATCATGAACTGAGCCAAAGGCAGCTGCTTAACCAACTGAGCCACCCAGTCGCCCCCGGGATGCAATTTTAAGCAGGATGGTCAGTGAAGGCCTCATGGAGAAAGGGGACATTTGAACGTCCCTTAAAGAAAAGGAGCCAGGTAGAGATGTGATGAAGGAAATAGCAAGTGCAAATGCCTTAAGGCAGGAGCATGATAAGCATTTTCATAGACCAGCAGGAGGCTGATGCAGCTGCAACTGATGGCTAGAAGAAAAGGCTAAGAGATATTGCAGAGAAGTAAATGACAGGGAGAAGCATATCTTGTAGGGGCTTGTTGGTCAATGTAAAGAATTTGACATTGGGGCGCCTGGATGGCTCAGTTGGTTAAGTGTCTGATTCTTGGTTTCTGTTCTGGATGATCTCAGGGTTTTGAGATCAAATCCTGAGTCTGGCTCCACGCTCAGTGGGGAGTCTGCTTAAAATTCCCTACCTTTCCCTCTGTCCCTTCCCCCACCCCACACGCACATGCTCTCACGCGCTCTCTCTCTCTCTCTCAAATAAATAAATAAACCTTTTATAAAAAGAATTTGACATTTGACATTTGACATTTACTCTGAATAAGATGGGAAGCCATTGAGAGGTGAGATCAACAGAATTGGCATACAATCTGACGTGTGTTTTAAAGTACCATGGCTGCTCTGTTGAAAATAGACTTTAGCGTAGCAAGAGTGGAAACAGGGAGACCATTTAAGTGGCTCTTGAAATAATCCAGGTGAGAGATAACTTTAATCAAAGTGAAAACAGTGGAGAAGTGAGAGATTATATTTTGATAGTAAAGCTGACAGTATGTGCAGATGAATTGGATATACAATGAGAGAGAAGCAGCTAGAACATCTCTAAGGATTTTGACTTGAGCAATTGGAAAGATCAAATTGCCATTTACTGAGATGAGAAGAACCAGAACCAAGCCATGAAGTATAACCTGATATTTATAGACCAGGATATAAAAAAGAATAAGCAGCAAAGACTAAATGGCCTTTATTTTTATTAAGATTTTATTTATTTATTTATTTACTTATTTGAGAGAGAGGGAAAGAGAGCAGGAGGAAGACCAGAGGGAGGGGGACAAGTAGACTCCGCACTCAGCACAGAGCCTGATGTGAGGCTTGATCTCAAGACCCTGAGATCACGACCTGAGCTGAAATCAAGTGTCGGACACTTAACAAACTGAGCCACCAAGGCACGCCCTAGATGGCCTTCAGAAGGAACATGTGATGTCAGATGAACATGATGTCTGGAAAGTGAAGAAAATGACTGGCAGGTCAAAAAAATGAGGGCTGAGAAATGACATTGATTAAACAATATAGAAAATATGAGTGACCTCAAAGAGAAGTCCTGATGAAGTGGTGCAGTGGTAAAAATTCTCTTCAGAGTGGATTCAGGAAGAATTGATTGGTACATGGATGAGGGCAATGTTAGATGTAAAATGAGAGGTACGAAGTGTATTGTAAAAGGTGTGAGGTGCAGGGCGCCTGGGTGGCTCAGTTGGTTAAGCGACTGCCTTCGGCTCA